CTTCTCTGCTGCGATCAAATACAACCATTATCTTACTTTGATATGGCTGGTTTTCTCCCTCTCGATTTATGTCTTGATGGAGAAATGTCGTTGAATATACAACAAATTGGACTTATGTTCACATCGAAGCGCTTCCACAAGATATCAACTGAGCAAACAGATTTATGCGATTCTCGCTTTAGTTGCCTCTCGGCTTTAATTATTCGCCAAAACCTTTTGAGCGTTTTATTCGGTTTGGGCATGATGACACTACAGGACGCTTATTCAACGAGCCGCACATCTCAAGGTCAAATTTCGAAGATCAACTTGTGTCTTTCTTTCTTTCAGTTCTTTCAGTATTGGAGATACTGCGTGAGTAGTTTGTAGCCTAACAATTTAGCAATTTATTTAGGTTAGAATGTTTTCAATAATTTGCTAATTTACTGTGCACTGAATGAAAAGATAATAGAAATTTAGAATATGTGTGCTTAACTTAATAGAAACTCTTATAGAACAGGAATCATCTGTTAAAAAGGACAAGCTCCCATGCTGCTTTGCTCAAAATATTTTCTAATTCAGAGCTGTAACTTTCGAACTACTGCAAATTTTATAGCGACACTCAAGGTCACGCAAATTCAAATGGTGATAACAATGAACAAAGAACACAGATGTTGTAGATAAAGTCGGGAATAAATACAGTTTACTCATAGCCATCTATATATAAGTATGCTATTGCAAGCGGAAATAGATTTTCAAAATGAGGGTGATGTTGTACAAGTTTGGTCAACACCTGTAGATAGATAGATTGATTGATTGATTGAATGAATGATTGATTGATTGATTGATTGATTGATTGATTGATTGATTGATTGATTGATAGGGAACTAGTGAGATGTCCAGCGGAAGAAAAATCTCTACCTTTTTTAAATTCTGGTTAATTGGTCGTAACGTCAGTGCACCATTGCTTTGTATGTTGTTAACTGCACCTTTCAATATCAAGAATATTTAGTAAATTGCATTTGTTTCCCTGGAATCGGGACCTTCGACCTGAATGGAATATTTTCACTTAGTTATTGAGGGCCCAGACTCAATCCAATCATACAACGATTGATTACATCACTCACGCGTGAGCACGGTGACCGAACCAACTTGACTTAACTCGCTTCCTCACGCGGCCGACCGAGGTCAATTTTCACCGGACTCGTTCATTCTGGTCTAAATATCACTCAATCAACGGTCAAACTTCACTTCTTGTTCTCCTTCTTTCTCACACAAATATGTCCGATTGTGTGTGTAAAGCACTTGCACTTACTTATCTAGGAAGGCAATTTGTGACTCTAGTCTCCTATAGGAGTTTTAAACCACGCACAGGATACGATACACACGTTGTAAATAGGATTCAAAAGTTGGTATATTGTTACATTTCGACAGAGACAATATAGGTTTCGTTGCATCACGGTCCTTTACATCTCGTTTAATCGTAAATTCAATTTGTTCTCCAAACGTTGAATTTTCCTCCTCTCTTTGAACAACCGCTTCGGGTTCCGGTCTAAGCAAACCACACAACAGTCTCGCTTCAACACGACCGCGACGCACTGACGACAAACAGCCGCGCGATCCAGTGAACAAACAGAAATTTCCGGCCCGGCTGAAATACGGTCCTGACAAATAATGCACGTCTTTTTGTCCAAACCCAAAAACGCTGCCAGTTTGGGCATCAATGCCACAAACAGATTCGGTTCACTCTGAAATCTGGCCTCCTGCTGCAACCGACCTTCACGAACCCAGTGAACGACCAAATTACGACACGTGGTCATATGTCGACGACGTTTTACGAGCATGGAGTTATAAAGTGCTACAGTACGTGTTCGAGTTCGTGATGGATAGAAGAATGAGGCGACCACATGGCGTAGACGTAACAAGGCCGGGGCGAAGATGACCAAAGCGATTAACAAATACCAAGCCTCGTAGAAATCGTGCACATGAGTGGCACTGGTCTGAAAAGCCAGTGGACTGCAGTAGGCCGAATCGTAATTCATATTCATATCTCTTAGACGCCCCAAATTTTTCAGAAATTTATTTGTCAAATTTCGAAATACTCCATCCCCGAGGACAGTTGCATGGGTGCCACTGAAATAGGTGTTACGGATACGAACACGCATTCCGTAAAATCCAACCGTTAGATCAACCAGGAATATAACCATTTCGTATAGATGTGTGTCCACGGCGAACATGATCATCAAACCGGAGCCAACAATGAAAGCGATAATCAAATTCACAGCAAGCCTTTGCATTTCCGTCGATGTGTAACATTTTCGTCGCCAATAAATATGCGGACTTTCCATTGATTTCAACGGGAGCAGAGTTTCTCTTCCCTCCTTTAACCGTTTGGCATCAATAAATTCAAACATAGTCCCGGCATATATATTATCAAAATTTGTATCCGTTAAATAATTTGAAATATATGTATGCCCTGTGTACAGCACTCCGAGAAATGTTAGTCGCCCAATTGAGCTGAGAATAACCATTAAATAGAAGAGAGCGGTCATCCCATCCGGGAATACGCTTTTCGGTATTGGTAATTTATCTTCAGGGAATCGCAGCCAATCTGATTCATTCAGTAAATGAATCTCGTCTTCAGAATGTGATATATTCACTTCGAACGCATTGCGTAATGCGGTGACTGCTATTCTCGCTTCTAAACCGAGAGCACCCAATCCACTCTCGGTCCCAACTGAATTTGGAACAAGACCACACTGAAGATTGGCATCACTTAGAAAGTTTGTGAACGGACATGCGTATTCGTACTGACTGGTTTTGTCGCAGGCCTGTGTATACCATACTGGTTGATACTGAAGACTTTTGATCACAGTGTGCAAAACGGAGCACACATTCGAGGCCTGTTCTCGACAGGCAGTCAAATTGTGTTGTCTATAGAGCATACAAGCAGAAATCGTGTAACGGTTCATTCGTTTCTCAATCATAGCTCCCTTGTCCAAGCGAGACTTAATCGATTTCACAAAATCTTGTGGCATGACCTTTTCGTCTGTCATATTCTTAATACTGCCATCAAACATCCGGATTTTCATATCTGTGTATCGATCCAATTCCTTGACAATGCCATCCACCGCCGTACGAAATTCCTTCACGTCCTCGTCCGATGCGAATTTTTCATTCGTTGATGTGGTCATTTTGTCGTAGACTGTATCCTGCACGGTCAAACAAAACAGAATAATCGGGTTTAAAAATAAAGGTAACAATATGGTATATGACTTCATAATATCAAGGCTCGTGATTTTCTGGACACATTTAGTTTACCCGCCGTCTAAAGTCATACCATTGTGTCGTTCTCGGCTTTTTTCCTCTTCTGTGTATTCTCTTCGGCGATGTTTCTCCACGGCTTCATTTTGTTTATAAACATTGAATAGTTTTGTTTTCACCACGTGAACTGATCCATCTAGTGACCCAACCCCGTTTCACCCAAGTCCCTATTTCCAATCATACATTCCTAACAATGAGCAGAATGAAAATTTCAAGGGTGATTTCGTGGTGTATGTTGCAACTGAGGCGTGAGCGGTGATGGCCCAGTGGTAACGTCACTAAATTATCACCCCGGGGATGTGTTCGAATACCACCACCACCGCCTGACTTTCTCCATTGTGTGTGTTGAATGGCAGCCCTTTGATGGCCGCTTCCCCCATCCCGGACATTGTTTCTTTGCAAATCCAATAAAAGGATGTAAAATGAAAAGAAAAAAGAAAGAAAAAACTGAAACGCTGGGAAGCACTGGACAGCTGTTTCGCCCTGTTTGGGCCTCATCAGCAGTGCGAATCCATCGACTACACTGGGCCTCGAACCCGGGGGCCTCACAAACATGCTATTCATAAAAAGTGATTAAAAACCAATGAAATTTATAAATGTTTTGAAAGGGATAGCAAAAGAACGCTTAAAACGACTGTTTTCTATCAAACGTGTCCGCTCCTGTTCGATCGGATTAGTAGCCAAAAGACAGCAACCAAAACCGGCGCACAATAGTGCATGGTTAATGGTTGTATAAACTGAAACTAAAACTGCACTGCGGTGCCTACATTTTATTTGTCTTTGGCATGGACATGGGCGAATAGATGTGTGTGTGCCATGTGTCCCAGTGAAGTTGGGTTTTCATTTTTCACCGACAATGGATTACCGTTTTATTCGTTGAGCAATGTAAAATATGAACATATAAGCTTGCATTTTCTTGACTTAATTCTCACAAGTCTGTGGGTATGGAGCAACATGTTTGTGGCAGTTACATTTTATTTGTACATCGACAGTTATCTGCAATTTTGACCCCTTAATCTCAGCTTTAGCTTACCAGCCATGACCAGATATACACGCAAGATTCTCTGATACAAAGCATACTGGTGATGCACCAGCATCTTGCTCCAAGCAAGGATGAAACAGTTACATTAAGTTATCCTACGAGATTTACGCTGTAGACATTGGAATCTCCTGACCCACTGGGCTAATCTGGCCACAACTTATCAATGGTCGTCGCTCATTCAGAGCCCATACTGATCCCGACAATTTCTTGGTCTGTACTCAAATTTTGCACCCGAGTATGGTGATCGGTTTACCGTTAGCACCCAGGTTAGCCTACCTCGAGTCCATTCATTCTCGTCTAAAGCCAATTCGATCAATAGCGAAATGATTCAGACCAAAACAAAACTCAGCCAATAAGTACAGAACAATCGAACAGGTGTTTTGCGACCTTCACATCCATCAAATGGTTCCACTATTTTTATCTTATATGATATCTGAGTCTCGATTGCGCCAAACAAATGTTTGGCGAATTACCGACATCTTCTACGGTATAGGTTGTTGGTAGTTCTGTGATGTAGCACCGTGATTGCTGGACCACTCGTTTCTACGTTTGAAACACAAAAATTCACATTCAGCGATGCTATCATTTGATCTGGCTAATTGCACCTAGTCAGGTGCTACGAACCAGCAGCAGCAGCAGCAGTGGAAATGATATCACAAGAAACGCATAGGTAGATTTGAAAGGTTAAATGCCTCGTTCATGCCATACAAATGGTCAAGAAAGGAAACACTGAAGCGCAATTTAATACCAGTACCATAACTGGTTTCATTTTTTTCTGAAGTCCCAACGTTGGAGCGATAAATGAAGGTTTCCACCATTATAATAGGTTCATAAAGCTATAATTTGACGTATATACTTCCTGTGTTCTTCTGGAGCTTGAAAGCAAAATGCATTGCTTGTTTGATTTTTCACTATTCGCATGATCATGATATCATTCGTGTTCATGATACCAATACCAAACCACATGAAGGGCTTGAGTTTGTACAACCGAATACCTCGTATCTGTGTACAGCCATTTAGTTACTACCTTTTGGCTAGGGTTTTTATATACTCCTTCCAGGTCTTAGTTTGACCACCCTTAGCTTTTTTCCACCCACTATCTGCCTCGGCGAACGTCGATCGCCGTGGCAACCTATCTGGTGACATGTACCATAGTTGACGTGATCAACGCAGAATGGAAAGAACAGTATTACTACCTAGTGGAACTATTGATGTTACCCATGCAAACTTGCACTCCTCGTCACACGCTGTTGGCATTTCTTCGTGCATAGCCTTAAATAAGTAGAGTCAAACAGCTTCTAAACACTTTCCTCAGTTCCATCGAGTTTGACGGTCCCGAGGTTTTGCAATATTTTGATTTATGGCCCCTCCCGGTAACGATAGATCCACTTACGATTGGACGATATAACATAGCATCCAATGAATGTAATGAACCAGTTTGTTTAGGTGATTGTCTTGTTACCGGTGTGTTGGAGGAGGGGTAGGTTGGGGCTTGAAGAGATGAAATTTAATCACTGCTTTTGCAGTGGCTTCTATTGATGTCAGATTTTGGTATTTAGTTACTCCACCGTTGAAAACTAACTCATACTTCAGTTCAGACCAAATATCTCTCCTCCTAGTGTCGACAAAGGTATTCCATTTGCTTTCCTAATGTGTTAGCCTACCCTCGTCTCCCGACCCCAATTACATGTCAAACACACACCAAACAGACATGGTACTGAAGCTACACCATGTAGTTTCAGGATATAGATCTATACAAGCCGATCTGTACTTTTGCGTGATACAGTCTACCAAAGTGTGGTCGAAAACCATGAGACTTGTTATGAAGGTCAAACAGATGTGTACGTTTCGTTGCTCAGAGCCCAGTTATTTATTTGTTCTGGGTGAGTCTAGGCAGTGTTCACTTGGGTGGAGGTTGTCTGACTTGTAATCGGAATGTCACATTCAGAGATCTCAATCATTTTGACATTGAGAGACGAGCAGCGGTTTCAAAAATGCGGTTTATTATGAGCGGTACCCACGGAGCTGCAAACCGCGCGACAGGTGATACCAGGACTCTCCAGACCTTGTTTATATCTCTCAGGTTTAATCGGTCGTATTGAGTAGCAGCTTACCTCGTTGTGCAACCAGTGATTAAACTAACACAAAGTTCGGCTAATGAAATTCAACACATGTCTGTGAGGTTATCTGTTGGGAAGATTGACGAGAGGTGGTATTTCCGGGAAGTTTCGTAAATGGTCAAATTTACCGAGGTGTTCTAAACCGAAACGCATTCCCATCGTTCAGTATAGCTACAAATTGATGTTAAAAGATGACAATGATTCGGCGCATTGCTTCCTTGTCATATACTAGTTTCATGCTCATCAGCATACACAAACGTTTCTGTTTGTACCTTGGTCACCGGATTTCAATCAAACTGGGAATTTGTGGAATCCCATCTGGNTTCTAGAGCGCTAAAGACTGATTGTACTCTATGCTTGATTGCGAGCATCTCGCGACGGATAAACATTGTTGCATCATTGACGTTGGGTGAATTTGTTTCAATGAATAGTGTGAGTCCCTTCTATGGTGAGCGTTTCCTCGTTCGAAGGATTATTTGAGCTTAAACCTGGCTTTGTCGTTCATAGAATACTAGCCAACCATGTGCTATGTCATCGACACCTATGCATCAGTCATTCGAGATACAGTAATGCAACCAAGAAATCTATAGTAACAGTGTTGCATTCTGACCTTAACTGTTGAATATCCGTTCCATGTGAGAAGGGAAGCCGAAAGATACAGGTTAGCCTTTTAATGTGAACCGATGCATAAAACAGAAATTCCCAACAATTGTATACTTCAGAATACTGAAACACTTTTTGGTTTTGACTCGCTTACAGTCACATGGATAAAGTAAGTCAGTGGAAGCTGATGGATTGTGGATTTTGAATAAGGCTTCATGCAAAAGTTGCAGTGATCTCCATTTGCAGGGTTATGTTAGTGAACAGCTACGAGATAACTCCAGCCAAGGAGCAGCATGTACCAGTTCTCTAATGGCAAATATGGAGCTAGCATCTTGAGCCAACCGAGTTGAATGCCACCTTTTCAGCAATACAATGGTCGGAAAAAGACCGAACCTGAATGGTTAACACGTTCTGTGCCAATGATCTTTTGTGCTGTATATGACTGTATCCGTTGGATTCCCCCCAAAAGATAACTAATAATTTCATAACCCTCTTCCTGCCTCTTGGTATCGGGAAATGCTAATCGCTGATTAGGAGTGTAATCGTGATTTCTGAACACCGAGTTTCTTTGTGTATTCAAAGCTAACTGGGTGAACTGGGTTTTGTGCAAGAAAAGTAGTCTAATGAATAATCAGTCACAGATTAACAAGAATTGACCTAAAGCATAACTCACCGGTAGCAATGAGTTATAAGTTTCATGACTTCTTTTGCAACTTTCAATCACTGGACAGTCGATAGATGAGATGATCAAAGAATGTAGGTATTCAATTACCGAATTACTACCGTAACCAGAGAAATGTTTTGTTGCTCACAGAAAGATGTAGGAAATGAAACTAGATTTGAATGAAGAACACAAATCATCTCAATCAACCAGATGTTGATCATTTTGTTATTTATTCTGAAAAATAGTCGTACTTTATTCAACGCTTCGACTTAAGATACTTACCAATTGTTCTATTTCTGGCCATAGTTCGGTATATTTGTCAAAGGCCTTGATTATATCTTTCGATGTGCTCTTCATCATATCCAACAGATTTGGAGACATGTCTCGGTAATCAGGCGAGTCACTGCCAAGGGGATCCGCGTATTCAAAGCCCACAGCGTCATCAGTGGCATCGAGCCAGTTGACACGTTCGAAATCCCGAGACACGTTATGGGCCAGCTCGGCGAGACAGGTTATTGTGTTCCCGGTGGATAACAGATTCTGTTCACTGTTTGCCAGTGGGCCGATAAGCACTGCGTGGAGCATCTCATTGGCCAAGTAGATGTGACCAAAGCGCATACCGAAAATCGGCAGAACTAGCACGAGTAGACAGCGCACACGTCGTGAGACCAATGCGCCAATCATAATGGACAAAAAAAGAAAAAATGAAGTTTGTTTGTTCACCTCTTGCTGAATAATATTCACACTTTGTCGCACTTCGGAATCAAGTTCAAGTCTGGTATTCTCGTCCCTTGGACGATCTAACGCAGAATTCAAAATCGGAGTGTTCAAATTTGTTGGGGCATAGATAGGTAAAAGAAGATAGGTGGCCAGAATCCCAAATAAAAGAAACAAGAGACCTCGCATAAATGCCACACCAAAACTTCGATAGAACGAGTTCGCTTCGTTCTCCAGTACGGCATTTCCATCGGCAAACAGAATTGCTTCAATGATTGGCATATGCAGACGTAAGAAACGTCTCCAATCACTGGTCTGAGCTGGAGTGAATGCGTAATTTGGTTTCATTGGCACACGGGACAAGAAACAAGCGTGTTGTGTTCCCACACCTCGTAACATCCAGCCAATTTTCTTTTGATTTTCAAGCCAATCACATTTCACATCTATCGTGGTCTGTTGAGACAGGCTCGGCTGTGCATACAGATGAAATCCCTGACACGCTCGCAATAATTTTTCTGTCGAAATGTAACCGGTTGAACCAAAGAATACTTTGACCCGATCACCCACCATGCACACTTCACGACTGTCACCCGGACCAGGAGTGATTGTCTTGTCTCGATGCAATCGGGATCCGTCAGCACGTGTGATCGATCCAGTTCGATGTGTACGGGATCCATCCACATGTGTTTGAGAACCGGTGCGATGTGTGCGTGAACCAGAACGATGTGTGATTGAACCAGATCGATGCATCAGTTTTTCTGGGATAGGAATCAGAGTCCCGTCGGGAAGTAGGGTCGAACCGTCACGATGAGTTCGTGAACCGTCCATGTGAGTTACGGACCCGGTTCGATGAATCATGGAACCGGTACTTTCCCGACGAGAGCCCATTTTCGGTGGTGTAAGTAAACGTTGAAGCGGTGGCAATACATTGATCCATTTGATGCACGGATATCTCGGGGCGGAAACATAATAAGATTTACCCTGAGTGTAAAGTTGGATGAAATGCAAAGCAATATCCACAAATGAAAATAAAAGGATTAGTCCACTTAATTCAGTATAGATGTGGTCGTAGACCGCGGAAACACAGTTTCTCCGATACACTGGCGCTTCATACCTTAAATAATAGATTGACAAATCTTCGCTCGGGGTCAGCAGGGACGAGGAACATGTGATGGTTAACCGGCGATCACAACAACTGGTTGGAAAGAAACCACTTGTATATTTCTGACCCCACGGATCCATTTCATTCCGATCAGTATCCACATCGAGTGAACCGAGATCTTTTGGACTGGTCAGACTGTTCATATTGATTGAGAGCCAGTCCAGATACGATGTGCTACCACAACAGGCATATTTTCTTTGCATCGATTCCAAATCGTTGAGTAGATTCATTTTTTCCTCTGAAAATAGACATGTAATTGAGAATTGATTATTCTGGAGTATGAAGGCGATAATGTGTTCTCTAAACTATCGCTCAATGGGTAAAAAGAAAATTTTTTTAAAAGCTCTACTCATTCAATAACTTACATAGTTATTTCCATTGGAGGTCTTTAGTCGAAGGATATTCACTTGTCCCATACTATCATTGGTTAAAGTAATGATCAGTTGTCTAAAACAAACACTGTTTGTGCGTCCAAAAGACACCTGTTTGAGCTTTCAGCTTGTTTGATCACACTTTTCCAACTCCTTTTCATGATATGCATTTAGACCAATACGTGACCAATGTCATTTCATATATTATGGGACCATGGTGTCACCAGCGTGAGTTCATAGAATCCAGTCACTAATCAATCATTTAATAGGTACTTGTTGTTCTCCCCAATTTCACTCATAACAATGTATTCTAATGCAAATTATTGTCCACTGAAAAGCAGATTTTTTGCCAATTTGTTGTGTGAGAAAAAGGCGCGAAAACGATCCGCATTCATTCCATAATGTAATATTGAGAAAGAAATACCGTAGTTTGCGAAATCAGTCATGACGATAACTTCTTCATCGCATATTCGTAAATGCATCCAGTTGACCACATTAACCAGTAACAATAAAAACCAATGGTAAAACCACATTTTGTACACCACAAATTGTGTGACTTTCAGCCCTTGACGAATTCCTTTTTGAATAAATGTCAGAGATCTTTCTTGAATGATAACACGTATTCGCTGTCCTGGGACAGCTGGTTGAACGCAATCCCGTCCGAAAGTGCATGAAGCACGAGTATACAGAAACTGCAGGGCACACGAAAATTACTTCAATTGACAAAGCAAAGCTTTCCCCCTGTTTAGCTTATTTGATCGGCTGACGGACAGCATGCCGCACATGACTGTGTGACTGTGTGAAGGCCGGGGAGAACGGAATGGATCGGCGGGGGGGGGGGGGGGGGNTTAGGGGGTGTTGTTATATTGTAAAGATGCTTATTTGTAGGTACACATAACATGTATGAATTTCCGTCTGTCCGCCGAGCTTCGCAATTTCATCACAAGCCCAGCTGACATCATCAGAGTCTGTGAAACATCTCGGCTGGTGGTGGAACTTTTGCAAACAATTTGCCAAACCTCAAGGGACAGGCAAAAGTGAGTTCGATTCGCCCGAGTTACAAGAACCCATTTTCAATAGTTCGCCAAATGCACGAGATCTGTTCATATCTTTTCAACTTCAAGTGAATCGGTTGTAACTTCAAGTGAATTTATCTGTCGCGTTTCACGGAAACCCACAGATCGATCGATTGCTTGTTGGGTCGATTTTAACAGTTTTAGTTTCAGCTTTTTTTATAACGCCCGTCCAGTTCGAATAAAATGATTCCTGCATAAATAGAAAACAGTGCTTTTTGAGTGAGTTACCGAGTAAAGATGAAGGCTTTGATAGGATGAGGTCTAACTGCTCACCTGCCTCCCAGGAAACTTCATGCCTTTGATGGTTGATCGAGTGAGGTTTTGAACATGACTAAATGAACCCTGCAGTTGTTGACTTCAACCCCATTCGGGTAAGAAAATGAGCCAAGTCGCAGTGGCCCGGTCACCATGTTTAAACCAAAATTTTGTCAGGAACCGTTGCACAAGCATTTTCATTATAGGCCCTCCATAATCCTGTGAGTGAATTCCACCGAGACTGAGCTTCCATTGAATTCCACTGATTTCTTTTGCTTAAATTTGATTATCAATTTACTTTTACTTTACTTTACCTTCACATTACAGTTGACAAAAAACAAACGATGACACTAGAATACAGATAAACTATTATCAATGCAGATATTCATCAAACTCGTGCAACAAGAGTTCTAATCCTTGTTGAATCGATGCGTTCTCAAGATTCCATCTGCCTTCGAGTGGATAACCCCATCCTCAGTTGATTGAATGTAACTTGAAATAAAACAAGAAACATAAAAAGGACAGGGCAAATTAAGAAAAAGGTTTTTATTCTTGTTCTCTTAAACTACTGTTATTGTTTGCCTTCCACGTATTTCTGTTTTATATACCGGTCTCGTCACCTTCTGTTACATATAACCCTGGTATTTTCTTCTTTTCATTTCTGTACTCAGGTTTATCTCAGATGTAACTAATTCGTGAAATTTGAGAGAACTTGTTTCTCAGTTGAATTCACGTTTGTGGTTATTGAGTGTTTTGGTTGGTTCTGCCTGGGTGTGGTGACCGGACTATCGATCCATCTACACGGGCATCAATTTCTTACTCGATCGACCGTGGTCAATTAGCGTTCGTTTCGTTCATTATCGTCCATAACTCATTCGATCAACGGCCAAGGGGGTGGGGACAAACAGTCAAACCCAAACCCATTAAGACCTTCATTATCACTCGGTAACTCCCTCAAGAAGTACTTTTGTTTGTTTATAGATAAATCAGTTCATTCCAGCTGTACAAACAGTGTGATAGACCTAAAGCAATGGATAAAGATCCAAGCGCCAATCGCATTGCATGGTTCTCAGCGAAATGCGGTTGGTGGATTCGCTTGAAGGTACGGCCGTTTAACTCGAAGTTGAAAATTATTGTGATAAGAGACAAAGTATATAAGTAGTGCTTGAAAAATGCACACAGAAAATCCTCAATTCTCTATGAAGGTTGGGCGCTGGATTTCAGTACATCCCGACACGGTGATTTCATGGTTTACTAGATTCCCCTTAAGAGGGATTTCCTTTCGATAACATGGGTTTAGCAAAATACGGGCTAGCAAGTGTCAGGCGTAGATTACAACTCAGTGTAGCACACCTCTTTCTCTGGGTTGATCCTACCGAGGAAAGCATCGGACCATCGTGAAGATAGACAAAAGTTGGTATTCAATGGGATATAGTTGAGCCTTTCCGAAAAGGTGAGTGTGGGACAAAGAAACGATGATAATTGGAATCAAGAAGGTGTACAGGAGAAGCCGTAGAAGATCGATTGAGTGTCCGTACGCGGGAAAGAGAAGTTGCCAGTCGTGTTACCAACGCGTGGAAAAAAAACAAAAATCAAAAACTAAGAATATCAGACGGAAAAGCTGTTAATCGCATCGGTGAATATGTACCCCATTTTGCGAGTGAATTCCATTCCAGGCTTCTGGGAAAGATTTATTTAGCATCTTAATACAGTGGCATCTGAAATGAACATCTCCTCTGTCCACCAAATAAACGATTACTTTTGCATATTTATTGGTGATTTAGCCATCAGATGACTTTCCTCACCGCAATTAGTTTCCAAAAGTTGATCTATTATCCAACCGGACTCTATGCACAGGCTTTGTATTTGGCAAAAATCGACTACCATTCTTCCTCATTCAGAAACGTGAACCTCTAACTAGTCCGGGTTATTATAAAAGAAAAATGTGTTTGACTGTCTGTATAACATAAAAAGTTGGGAATACGATTTCGGAGAACGAATAAAAGAAGCTAGAAAAGTTGAATTATATGACTGCTACAACAGATTTTCCGCAGTTTTCAGTCCCCAACCCTTTTCCTCTCTTTGAACATGTCACTGATTATTTAAGTCATTGATTTAATCCATATTACCTACTTGAAATTCTCTGCATCTATACGGGTAGATATCCATCACCTTCATTGAAACAATGTGCAGGAGGGACGAAAGAACCTACAAATACGGACAGAGAGTGCAAGTCAAAACCTATACTGAGGTGGTAGAACCCTCAACGTGTGAATAAACTGTGCTTTGGTTTCATCTTGAAAACCGTGATTTGTCGTAACTNAGAATGATCACAAAAAGGAAGTCGTCAATGTCCAAATACCGAATTCTGCATTCCATTCATTTGACCTCCATTCCAGTCCTCAATATTTCTGCTCCAAAATGAATTATGCAAACTGCAATGATTTTTCCGCAAATGCGGAAAATTCAAATGAATAAGGCTTGCGGTTTGGATGAATTACCTCTCGTAACATAGGAGATCTGGTCCCGAGCCCTTTCGGGTTCACCACTTAGCTGATTGTCTAGCAAGTGGGAAACTGTTCTTCACATTTGAGCACTGGGAAAGGTTAGTCCCATCCCAATAGAGGAAACGGGAAGGTACCGTCTCATCGTTTGCAAGTGAGCCATGATCAAATTGTTTCGACGGGCTGTGCTAATGAATTTGCTCAAATGATATACATCCGCTTGCCAATCACTCGTTGAGTACCACCCTTGAAGCTTTTGGTCATTATATTTACTAATAATTTCACCTCTAGTCAAGAAGTACAGGACGGTCAGACGGCTATGCTTGAACCACAAATTTTTCTGTATTAAACAATTTTCTAATTCCTTCTACAGCAACCAAAAGCGCTGCACTAAATTGCATGGTGAATGTTTTTTTTAAATAAACCTGGAATGACGCAGATGATGTTGCTTTAATATGTGAACTGCCAACGTCTGAGAAAAATTCAGAACTTGAGTTCAGGTCAAGTAGTGTTGTGAATTGGTCTCTACCGCGTCATCTCTCATTGAACCTGTCGAGCTTCCGGAATGTCATGTCTTCCTTGGTGACCGATGGATCATACGGAACCCTCGCAGACAGATTCTATTCTATTCCTGCTAATTGTGAACCCAGACCAAAATTAACAATGATAAAACATTTTGAAGTCACGCCAACACACAATTTATCATGATCAACACAAGCTCAAGAAATAATTTTTCAGATTAGGATGTTACCATATTACTCACTCCGAGTCAACAACCAGTAACTAGTTTCCACTTGCATACGATTGATTTTTGGTGATATAGATATTATGTTTCACTCATGAATGGTACTAATGCCAATGAGGGACCGTTTGGTCGATTAACCTTTAGATAAGCTCACTCAATCGATTACGTTCCATGAAAGAGTTAAATAGAATTCTACAAATAAAAAACGACGTTGCCTGGGCCCCTGTATCCGCAATCAGGTGCTGATCCACACACTCGTCTGAATAAATCGTCCAGTCAATTAACTT